CCTTCATTAACTAAAAAAGTGTTGTTGAAGACAATCACTAGAGCAGAACTAAGTGCTATTACATAGCAATAATAGTTGTATCATCCAACCAATTCTTACTCCTAGCTATTCTATAGCCAACAGGGTAAAATACTGCATAATTCAGTGCTATCCTCAAAACCTTTCCTTTGGAGCTCATTCTTGCAGCCTTCTGTCAATCCATCTCCTAGAAAGTTCTCTTCTTTGACATTAAGAAACTCAATTAGAGCATGTTTGTTGTTGTTATGTGTTGTCGACTCACTTGCGACTCATAGCAACCCTATGGACAACAACCCTAAACCCTACTCTATCTTAGAACATGTTTATTAATTATTTCTTTTATTTCTATCATCTTCCTCTTGCCACTTAAAATTCACTATTGTTTTCATACTACTTGCTAGTACATTATTACAAGTTTTCATATGTTGTTTTTATGGAGAATTGGTGGCCTGGAAATAAGGAGTTGTGATGTCAACCCCTTCTTAGGTTGTTGTGATTGTTGTTAGGTGCCATCAAGCTGAGTATGACTCATAGTGACCCTATGAACAAAAGATACGAATCCTGTTCTGTCTTGTACCACCCTGACACACAAGAGCCCATCACAGCAGTCGTTATGTCAATCTACCTACTTAAGGGGGTTTTTGACTCCCTTCCCAGTATCATGTCCTTCTCCAAGGAACTACACCTCCTAGCAACATGCCCAAAGTATGTGAGGTGAAGGCTCACCATATTTGCGTCTAAAGAGCACTCCACCCTCTCCAAGACATGTCTGTTTCTTCTCTTGATCGTCCATGGGATGTTCAATGTTTCCTCCAACACCACAGCTCAAAGACATAATTCTTTTTTATGTCATTCTTAATCATTGTCCAGCTCTAAGATACACAGCAAGTAAGAAAGACCATGGCCTGAATTAGACACCTCTTAGTCCTCAAAGTGACATCATTACTCTTCAATAATTTGGACAGATTGCTAACTGCAGACTTTTCCAGTGCAATTCATCTCCTTATTACCTGACTGCTGGAACCATGGGTGTTAATTGTGGATCCAAGCAAGATGAAGCTGTTTCAATCTCTGCATCCATCATGATGCTGCCTGTCAGTCAAGTGATAAGAATTTTTGTCTTCTTGACATTGAGTTGTAATCCATACTAAAGGTTGCATTCCTTGATCTTCTTAAACAAGTGTTTCAAGTCCTCCTCACTTTCAGCAAGAAAATTTATGTCATCTGCATAAAGCAGGTTATTAATGTTGTTGTTGTTGTGGTTAATTGCCTTGACTTCAGCACAACTAATAGAGATCCTATGAACAAAAGGCCTGAAGTCCCTCTACAACTATTGACATTTATCAAAGTTCATAAAGTTTCCAGAAGCATGTAGTTTAGGAAGTGGATGCCACCCCTGCTTCCAAACCTGTCATAGCATGTTACTGTTCTTATGTGCCATTGAGTCACCTGCAACGTACTGCAACTCTGAACTGCAGCTCTTAACCCTTCCCTGTCCTGAGCCAGTCTCACTGATTCTGACACACCAAAACCCATTGCCCCAGTTACTGTATTAGTCCATCTCAGCCAGGGTCTCAGACCGATCTCTCCTGGCCATGTGCCCAAAGTAAGTGAGGTGGAGCTTCAAAATCCTAACCTCCAAGGAGAGACTTGGCTTCACCCTCTCCAAGAAAGGCCAATTTGTTTCCTTGACAGTTCATGGTATCTTCAAAACTCTTCTCCAGCACCACAACTTGAAGGCATCTATTCTTCTTCTGTCATCCTTAGTCATTGTCCGATTCTCTGAAGCATAACAAGTAATTGAGAAGACCATGGCCTGGATTAGGCACACCCTTGTATCTAGATTGACATCATTGCTCTGCAGCACTCTGGAGAGGTCCATGACAGCAGATTTTCACAATGCAATTCATCTTTTGATTTCCTGACTGTTGATGTCAAGAGTGTGGATTGTGGATCTGAGCAAGCTGCAATTAATTGCTAACAACCTCAATCTCTTCTCCACCTATTATGATGCTGCCAATTAACCCAGTGGTGAGATTCTTTGTTTTCTTGATGTTCCACATAGAAGACTACAGTCCTTAACCTTTTGCAGCAAGTGCTTCAGGTCTTGTTTAGTTTTGGAAAGCAAGGTTGTGTCATCTGTATAGAAGGCTGTTAATGAGCCTTCTTCCAGTCTTGATGCCACACTCCTTCTCATAAAGCCCTGATTCCTGAATGATCTGTTCTGCATATGGATTGAAAAGGTATGGGGACAGAATGCATCCCTAACATAATCTTTTCCTGATTTTGAACCATGCAGTGTTTCCTTGCTCTGTTCTGAGGACTGTTTCTTGGTCCAAGTAAAGGTTTCATATAAGCACAAGAAAGTGTTCTAAGATTCCCATTTTTCTCAAGGTTAGCCACAATTTATTGTGATCCACACAGTCAAGTGCCTTTATATAGACAATGAAACACAGACAGACATTCTTCTGGTATTCTCTACTTTCTGCCAAGATCCATCTGACACTGGCAAATATTTCCCTAGTGTCATAACCTCTTCTTAACCCAGCTTGTATTTCTGGTAATTCTCTGTCCAAGTCTTTTCTGGATAATCTTCAGCAGGATTTTGCTAGTGTGTTCTATTTGTGAAATGCCACACTCCTCTTCTTGGAGTTCAGCTTCTCGGATAATTTTTTCAGCATACAGATTGAACAGGTATGGAGAGAAAATACACCTTGATGCACTCCCTTCTCAATTTTAAACTATGCAGTGTTCCCTTGCTCCGTTCGCACAACACCCTCCTGGTCTAGGTATAGGTTCCTCATGAGCACAATTAAGTGCCCTGAGATTCCCATTCTTCTCAATATCAACCACAAGTTGCTATGATCCACTCAGTCAAATGCCTTTCCACAGTCAATAAAGCACAAATAGACATTTTTCTGGTGTTCCCTACTCTCAGTCAGAATCCATCAGACACCAGCAATGATATCCCTGGTGCCATGGCCTCTTCTAAAGCCTGCTTGAAATTCTGGCAGTTCCCTATTTATGCACTGTTCTCTCCATTTTTTAATAATTTTCAGTTGTATTTTGCTTGTATGTGATATTAATAATATAATTTGATAGCTTTCACATTCACTTGGAATACCTTTCTTGGGAACTGGAACAAATATGGACCTCTTCCATCCCACTGACCAGACAGTTGTCCTCCAAACTTCCTGGCATAGATTGGTGAATACATCCAAGGCTGCATCCATTAATTGATATGTCAATTGATATCCCATCGTTTCCCGGGGCCTTATTTTTTTCAATGCTTCATTACCATTGGCTGCTGTTCACATGGTGGTGGTTGTTGTTGTTATGTGCCATCGAGTTGCCTGTGACTCATAGCGACCCTATCTAAAAGAGCCCAAATGCCGTGTACTTCCTGAAATTTTTCAGTGTCCATCAATTCCTTCTCATACAGTGATTCTGTGTATTGCCTCCATCTTCTTTTGATGCTTTCTGGGTCATTCAATATATTGCCCATAGCATCTTTCAATATTGCAAATCAAGGTTTAAATTTATTTTTCCGTTCTTTCAGCTTGAGAAATGCAGAGCAAGGTCTTCTCCTTTTATTCTCCAATTTCAGCACTCTGCACATCCCATTATAATACTTTGTCCTCCCAAGCTGCCCTTTGAAATCTTCTGTTCAGTTTTTCCACTTCGACATGTTTCCTTTTTCTTTTAGCTTCTCGATGCTCCAGCGCAAAGGATAGGTTTGAGGCATTGAAGACCAGAAGACCAGATGAATTGTGAGATGATTATCAAGGATATCTTCCTTGAAGGAAGCAAAAGTTCGAGTCAGACCTCTAAGATACACAGTTCAAATACACCAGATACTCTGCAGAAGAAAGATGGGCAACCTTGTCCCGTACAATGTACAGCCTCTGAAAACTCACTGGAGGGCCAGCTATCAGTCAGCTCTGACTTGACAGCACATAACAACAAGAATGTTGGCTTTATGTTTAGGTGCCACCAAGTCAAAATCAACTCAAGGTGGATTCCATGTACAACAGAATGAAACACTGTGCAATCCTACAGCATTCTTTCAGTCCTGCTTGTCTTTGAAATAATTTTTGCAGTCACTATATCAATAAATCTCTCATTGGCCTACTGAAATTCTTTATGAAATTAAGCCAGATAAAGCTAAATGTACTAAATAATTTACTAATAGTCTCAAGAGGTTTTCTTGAAATGTTTTCTGAGTCATTTAAAAAAAAGGCATGATTGGGGTTCAAAAGATTTTATACTCTACTGCACGTTAGGAGTGGAACAGTTACTCTTTCCAGTGGTTGGAATCCACCAGTGGATCCTGGGGAGAAAGATGAGCAATCTCTTCCCATATGACTTACAGCTTTGGAATTCCAATAATGGGCCAGCTTTGAGTCAGTTCCAATTTGACAGCAGTGAGTGAGTGTGAGTATGATTGATAATTTTATTTTTATCTTCTGGAAAATGTGTTTTATATCCTGCAATTTCTCAAAACACTTACGATAAAAAGTCTTTAAAATGTTATAACTTAAACATAGCTAGTCAGTTCAAAGCCATTATACTGTGAAACCAAATATACTGTGTATTACATAGGTAAGGAGCTCTGGTGGCCTAGTGGTAAGGAGCTGTGCTGCCAAACCAAAGGCACAACGTTCTAATCCTCAGCTGCTCCATAGAATGATGGGTAATCTCTGCCCATGAGATGTACTACCTCCGAAAACCTATTGCAGGATCAGCTACAAGTCAGATCTGACTTGATGACATATAACAACATTATATATGTATAATATTTTTCACCTATTAAAAATCTTGATAAATAATTAATGTTAAACAAATTGGCAAGCCATAAAAACACTTTTTCTACAGGCATAGTAATTGTTTACATTTATATTTCTGAGTAACCATCACTGAGACATACTATTTACTAAATATTATTAAATATCACCCCTGGATATCAGCCCCAGGGAACTTACCTGTTGTCACCCCATGGACCACTCCTTCCTTGGTTTTGGACCCTACAAGAAGGGAGAAATTTGAATCAAAAATATGTCTCAAATTGGACTTACAATGATGAGTAACTGGTTTTAAGAACAGCTAACTTAAAAACTGCAATACTTCAAAGTCCCTATATGATGATATCCCAACAAAAGGAAGAGAGCAAAGTTAAGAGGAGGTTCTCTTCAATTAATATTCAACATATCATGATAGCTTAGAATCCCCTGATTCTCACTTTATATATCAATTTTCAAAAGGAAGGGGTGCAATAACACTGAGACTAGGTGGAAAGGATTTACAAAGCTGACCATAAAGGATTTACTGAAGCACAGAGAAAGAATAGTTTACCCACTAAATACAAATGGAAGAGAGGGAAGGAAAGCAGTGTTAACATTTGTTAACATAAAATTTTATGTCCGATACTTTATATCTACCTCTTTTAATCTTGATAACATAAACTTAATACATATGAATTATGCATATTTTATTTATGAAGGAAATCGGAAAGGAATATTAGATAATTTGCCTAAGGATGCACAAGAAACAGTAAGCTACTAAGCATTTTCAGACTAATGTCTTTCCCAGCTTAAACCCATATTCTTTCCCCTAAATTAGGCATACTTAGAAAGAAGGTAGTATTTCATCCTACCCCCCAATGTTTCGAGGCTGGCTTTAAGAAGAGCCACCTTAATTACTACTAAACTTTCATATAATAATTTAATGTATATAACTAAGTCTGTTAATGATTTAATATAATTCAGAGCAGTATTTTTATTATTATTATTTTCAACCTTCTAGAGAAAATAACAATATTGTATTAGCAATTCGTTTTATAACTATTCAGTGACTAAAATAATAAATATATCCAGACAAAACATATAAATGGGATATTAATTAGTACAAAATAGGTATGAAAGTGTTATCATCCTTGCCTCTAAAAAGTATACTGCTTATACTCCCTTCCAAGATGATGTGTTTGTTCTTTTGGCTGTCCATGCAGTACTGAATATTCCTCACCAACTCAAAGGGCACCTAACAACAACAACTTCACTAACACCAAAAAAATCAAGGGCATCACTTTTTCAATTTTCCTTATTTACTGTCCAAAGTAAAATACCCTGGCCTTCATCGCCAAGTTCTTTAGCACTTTGAAGACATCTTTAACAGCAGATTTCCCCAAAGTAACAACTCCTCTGAATTCTTGATGCTGTGGATGTTGATTGTGGAGGCAAGAAAAAGGAAATTTTGGGCAACTTCAATCTTTTCTTCACTGATCATGTTGTTGCCTATTGGGAAGATTTTTGTCTTCTTGATGTTTAGGTGTAATTAATTTTGAACGGTGTAGTCTCTTTTGAAGCTTCTTCAGTGAAAGCTCCAAGTCTGATTCATTTTTTGCAAGTAGGCTGTGTCATCTTCATAATGCAGGTCGTTTGATGAGTCTTACTCCAGTACTGATGCCACGTTCTTTTTCATATAGCCCAGCTTCTCAAATTATTTGTTCAACATACTGACTGGATACATATAGAGAAAGGAAACAATCCTTATGCACACATTTCCCAATTTTAAAGAAAAACAGACAAGAAGAGGATATTTCAAAGGGTAGGTCAATAAAACAAAGTAAAGTACCATAATAAGGAGCTGCAGTTAGAAAGGCAAAAGGAAACGAACAAACAAGCTTGGCATTTTTACAACTTCAAGTGTTGAGGGGGAAAGACAGGCCTCGAGTTATAGTGCTGGAAGAGTCTATGGGCCAGGTACAGAATGAGGCAGGAAGCATCAAAAGAAGATGGGGGGAGGGGAAGCAAGTAATTTTACTAAAAAGAATTAGTCAACACTGAAACATTTTAGGAAGAATATGGAAAATAACAATGGTAATGAATGAAGACATTCAAGATGCAAGAGAATTAAGAAAATCAGAGACATATAGAAACAAGCTTCAATCTCTATGACCACACAACCAGAAGAACCATTGTTTAGTGCTCTGAATGGCATCACAATAGAAGATCCTGAACAGTTGTTGTTAGGTTTTGTTGAATCAACTATGACTAATAGTGATCTTACAAAGAATCGATCTGAACTTTTCCTATCATCTGCCATTCTCATTATCTCTGACATACTTGCTCTATTATTTTCCAAATATTTTTTATTGATTTTCATATAATAATACCTTTACAGTATGTTCTATTGGGTCTTATACAATCTTTCATTTACATTGTGTTTCATACAATCATTCATATACATTCTATACTACATTATTTTTTATGCTAGTTTATTTACAAAATTCTAATACATTTTTTTTTCATACCAGATCCCTCCCAATGCCCTCACTCTTGTCCCCATCATGGGGTTATTCTTGAGCTCTTGATGCAGTCACTGTATAAGTCCGCCTCATTGAGGCTCTTCCTATTTTTCCACCTTTCCAACCATGATGTCCCTTTGCAACATGGGAGAAAAACATGGACTAAAACCAAAGCAATAAAAAAGCCCATGCTTACATGCTTATAGGTCATGTGGAGATTGGTGGAATCCCTGAGGTTAGGGCCCTTAGCCAACCTTCAAAAGTGGACCTGAACTCATCCTTGTGTCTCAGTTACCAACCAAAATGGGGGGTGGGGGGTAGGTTTATCAAGTGAGCAGTAGAAGTGAGCATGAAGACCTTAGCATAATCAAACCCCTGAGATCCAAGGGTCAACATGTGCCCAAAGGAAAAGTTTAAAGAGATAGGAGAGAGGGAGGTAAGGAAACAGGAAACACTACAGGGATGTGGGATGAATGATCTTACATGGCAAAGACTGCAATCATTGTCTGGAAACAAAATGTGTATGATTTGCTGAATGGAAAATGGATTTGTTCTATAAACCTTCACCCAAATCACTATAAAAAATAAACATATATAAATATATAATAGATAGATAGATAGATAAAACATTTGTGTAGAAACCTAACACAAAGGGAGAAGAAATCCAAAAAATAACACTGTTGTTGACTGCCTTCAAGTTGAGCACGACTCCTAGTGACCCTACAATTGAAGCCCCTCTACAACTATCAACATTTATCAAAGTTCATAGAGTTTCCGGAGGCAAGTTGTTTAGGAAGTGGATGCCTGTCCTGCTTCTAAACCTGTCATAGAATGTTATTGGTTGAGTCATCTGTAATGCATAGTGACCCTATACACAGCAGCTCTGGACCCTTCCCTGTCCTGAGACAGTCTTGCTAATTCCCGTATACCAATCCCTATTACCCCAATTACTGCATTAATTCTTCTCATCTGGGGTCTTCTTCTCCTGTGCTGTCTGTCCACCCTTCTGAACATGATGTCCTTCTCCAAGGACTGATCTCTCCTGGCCACATGCCCAAAGTAAGTGAGGCAGAGCTTCAAAATCCTAGCCTCCAAGGAGAGACTTGGTTTCAACCTCTCCCAAACCAATTAGTTTACTTGGCAGTCCATGGTATGTTCAAGACTCTTTACAGCACATTATGAAAGTCCTTTGATAGTAGAAAGATACTTCCCAAAGTGTTATGATATTATAATGGAATAAGATTTTTTCTTATGAGGTTTATAAAATAGTTTGCCAAACTTCTTCATTGAAAAGTGAAATTAGACCATTTTCTTCAGTCACTTCAAATCTTTCAAATTTGTTGTTGATAATAGTTCTTGAATTTGGCAAAGGAATTATTTTATTAGAAAGATTTTTTGATAATACAAATTATGGCTGATAAGCAGCTCTGGTGGGCATGTCTGTAGGGAATTCACTGTTCACCCAAAGGTCATGGCGCTCTGTTGGTTTGAATCCACCAATAAATCTCAGGGAGAAAGAAGAGCAGTCTCCCATGCAATTCAAGAGCTGGGAAACCCAATGCAGACTCTGCAGTGCGAGTTTTTATCAAAGTATGCTCTGTGACTGAAGTATTTGGCTTTATTATCATTCCTCACAAAGACTTTGCAAGGCAATTATATTTAGTTTTTATTACCCAAGTGAAAGGATGTTAAGAGATATTCAGTAGCTTCCCAATATCCCATAAGTAATAAATGACAAATCAGGACTAGAACTGTAGTTTGTTCTATATCAAGCCCATGCTCTTTCCACTAGGCCAGAAGTAAGATATCAAATCTAATATCCTCTGATTTTGCTTAAAAAAACACCCAGAAATGTTTATTAATATACAAAGTGATGTTAGTCATTTTCTATGGCTGTTTTTAATCTATACTAACAGAACTGAGTAATTGAGGCCAAAAAATTTGCTAATACCTGCACCATACTGACATTTACTTTCATTCTTGTGTATGAGTTTAACTTTTAACTAGATTCAACTAATCAATTAATGCTATATCTGGTTAATAAATTTTTGAAAGAACTAATAATAAAATAATTTTAAATGTACATAAATTTCAATTTATATAGTCAGTTGAGAAAAATAGAACTAATCTCTGAAAAATAAAATCATCTTATTTGCTTACATGTACAAATGGTGACAAAAACAGATAAAATTCTTACAGATAATAAAACCTGCATACAGTAATAAAAACTAATACCTGATAGTTTCTACACTAATTACAAACTAATGAAATGAATGTGAGCAACCTTAAAAAAACAAAACAACATACTTTAAAGTTACAGTTACTAAATTATAAATGAACTGGGGTCAAAGAACAAAGGATCATTCACATAACTTTGAAAAATTAAGTCAGATACAAAGATGCAATAAGATAAACACATCACTGATTCAGTATTATACCTTCCACCTAAAGAGATATAATCCACACAACACACACACACACACGCACACACACACACACACACACAACTTGTACATAACTCATCAAATTGATTTCCTCTTTTTTTTAATTTTTTTTTCATTTCCTCTTGTAACATTCTTTATCTTAATGACTTCTTGAAAATGTATTTTAAAGTAGAAGAAGAAAATATAATTGTAAATTCATGGTAAGGTCATATCCACATGAGAAAAGTTTATGAATAATGAGAAAAAAATAACCTTATGTAAATTTTCATGAAAAGCATTCATAAAAGTCATTCCAAGCATAACTCCTCTCCAAAGTGTAGCTTTCATTTGCCCTATAGACTGTGTGTATAAAAGTGGTATCATCTGTGCTCGCTTCGGCAGCACATATACTAAAATTGGAACGATACAGAGAAGATCAGCAAGAAGTATTCCAAGAAAAAAAAAAAGGTGGTACCATCTATACTGTACAATATATTAAATCTCCACCTTACTGCTTTAATCCAGTTTACTGCCACTATAGCTATCTCCAGGGAATGTAGAATGGTTAAAACAGAAAAGGAGGAAGAGAAGAAAAAGAATGAGTGGTAGGTGCTTGTATCTGGGTGTGTATCTATTCCTGTAATTCCTCAGCTCTTTCCCAAAAGAATCTGAAGTGGTTTCTAAAATAACACCTGATTTAACACAGATGCAGATAAAAATAAATAAGATAAAGATCCATATGTATACTCCAAGGTGAAAATTTAAGAATAGAAGCAACAATCTCCTTATTGTTTAGTAGGTGTCATTGGATAAACTGGGTACAAGTTTCAGAGACATCAATAGGTATCCTTAACCACTTTTCAGTGTACCAAGGGATCACACAAAAGTATTAACACCCACCAAATGTTAATCTGTCTTTACCACTTTAGCAGCTCTGTAGATGGTGGACTTTTTGTTTATTGTCTTTAACATATATAACTCAGTGCCGTATCTCAATCTGATCTTAAAATTAGAATATTAACATTCATAAAAAAATAGGATGAGCAATGAAATTAAAGACATAATTTTGAGTTTTAAGAATGTTTTTTATCTGTTTTTTTTTTAACAAAACCAACTAGATTTTAAAAAGTTACTTCTGAAGTAACTTAAACCCGAGAGCTGCCTTTATTCAGAACTGAAGCAACTACAACAGGTTTGTTTTGTCCCCACTCTTTTTGGAAAGAAATAAAAAAAAAAAAAAGGAAATCGTTAATTATTGCAAACTTGAGTAACAGAAACAAAATAAATTATCTTTATTCTGAATTATTAGCTAAAATATAGATGCATTCCCCTACCCACACACACCTGTGACTCAGGCCATCCATTTTGTGAGTTATGATGCAAAGATGACTCAAGCAAGCAAGGAATATCAACATTCAGAAAGTATCCATCATGCTGCCCACCAAGCATGAATAATTATCACAAGGGCAGCTGGGGTGTACCTACCTACATACAGAACACCCTCTTTGGTCTTTCCTGCTGCTTCTGCCACACCCTGTTTGGTCTTTTCAGCAGCAGCCACAACTCCTTCCTTGGCCTTTGAAAGTCCTTTCATGAATACATCCATGGCTAATGAATTCCTTTACACCACACTGCAGAACACAAAATGCACTTTGAATGAGAACTTTTTGATAACACAAACAAAACTAAAAATCCAAGGTAAAAACTCCCAGGAAATTGGTAGAACTCTTAAAAGCATGTGACTCTTTTAAATGTATCCTCATCCCAACCTCTGAACAAAATGATCCTTTTTTAGCTTTTGCACTAAAAATTTAGCACATCCCCTACCCCCATCCATCTTGCCTAGTAAAAAGTCTAGCTGCCTAAACAGGGCTCAGGATGAATCATCAGGACTGTGTCTACTGCGTTTGGCAAGTGGAGTAGCATAAAAGGATGGCCCACTCTTTCAACTTCCCTAGGATCCAATTCGTGACACTTGAAGTTTGAAGCAGATTTGGAAGAAGAACCACAGTTAAAAGACTCGAGGCATGCTAAAAAGGGAGTGAGGACTCACACAGCTCAATCTTGGTGGAGAAGGAAGAGAAGTGAACTACTCACTCCCGGGTGTGGCCCTACCCCTGCTACAGCTTTAGCCTCAGGCAGGAGCTCTAATCTGCTGGACCAGGCACCATCCTCCGTTATCTACCCAGGGCCAGCTCCTTCCACTCCGCCAAGGTCTCCAGACAAGCGCCACCCAGGAGACCGATCTCTGCAGAGAACCAGCGGACAAGGCGCCCAGCGGAGACGTGCTGCACCTGCACCTGTTAACCCCTTAACACCTGTTGACTGGTTCTCCTGGCACTTGTTTAATTTTTTTTTTATTTTTTAAATAGTGGACGCTTACTTTACAGAGGAACCAAAAGGGGAGGAATTGGAGAACTGGGTAAGAATTGGATAGAAGTTCGAAGTTCATCTCATATTTCCCAAAGGAAAATCTAACAGAAGTAGCCAAACCTCTGAACCTTTGGATTGGGTAGGAGGGAAACAGAAGACTCAGGTGGAGAGTCAAGTCCACATTCTTTCCTCAAGCTCACCTCAGGCACCGGTATCCCCTGCCCAGACTCAACACCACTGGTCCTCACTGCAGCATCCCTCTCCTGCTTCCCAGGCATCCTTCTCTCCCACTAGCTTCCCAGAATCGCCAAATCTTCCCGCCCATTTAGCTCCACAGGTACTTACCTGCGCCCCTCTGCTCCTCCAGAACTCTGACTCCTCCCCCCTCCTTTGTAAGTGAAGTAAATATTATTTAGATGCAAACAGGGAGGTAAGGAGCGCACAGGAAGGGCGGAGGCGGCACCAAGAGAGGGAGGGTCCCCAGAGGAGGCTGCTGTCAGCACAACCCCGGGACGAGAGCCTGGGGACGTGGGAGGCGAACCCTCGAACCTGTCGTTGGATTGCCACTCCACGTCCCCCGCACAAGAGGAGCCAGGAGAAAGAGACAAGAGAGTGGGAAAGGAAAGGAGGGGAGGGTGCGAAGGCGGGGCTCTCTGTCCCCGTCCACGCTAAAGCCAGCACACACCTCACTCTCGGGAGTCGCGGATCTAGGTTGTTCGCCCCCTCTCTATGCCCCCTCGTCGTCGTAGTCTTCCTCCTCTTCCTCCCTCTCTGGCGCTCACCGCCCCCTCAGCTGATTTGTCAGCGCTTCTCCCCGCCCCACTCCCGGCGCTCGCTGCTTCCCCAGCCTCGTGCGCTCCGCTCCTTTTTCAGGTTCCGGGAGTCGAGGTGGGAGGGGGTGTCTTTCCAACTCCAACCTCCTGCCTGGTCCTGGAAGGCGAGAAATGAGGATGTTCCAGGCATCACCTCAAGTTCAGGGTCACGGGGCAGTCTTGTGGAGCCCAGCAGAGGTTCGTTTTGGGTTAATGCCTCTCCCTCTTTCCCCTGGCTCCTCTTTCCCTGTCTCCACCTTTAGCTCTGGTTCTTCATGAAGACCCCTCCCTACGCGGTGCCAACCTCCCGGAGCCAAAGACGGAGTCTATCTCTTGGGGATCTGATGCAGGAACAGATGGTTTAAGAGTGTGCTCAGATCCCTACCGCCAAAAGCACGTTTCTCTCCTCTGGTAAAGGGTCGCAAGAGACAGCATTAAAGGTTATTTGTGTTCAAATCAGATAACCGTTCCTTCCTAACCTCATGTGATCTTGAAAGGGTCCCACAGGAGGAGCATAGACTAGTGAAGAGATAAGGGCTGAGGAGACAGATCCACAAATCCTTTGCCCACCTATCACCATTTTCTTTTCCACCAATCAGGGGCTGCCAGACGCCAATTTCTTTCTTTTTTTTTTTTTCTTCCCCTCCTCAGCAGGAATGAATAATACCCAGACCTCGAAAACAAGCAGTCAGAGGTTGTTTGCTTTGTAAAAGCAATTTACTCCCCAGACCACCAAGTGTCTGGATGGAAGAAGCCATTCCAGTCTGGATTATCTTCATGGACCAGGATATCCAATTTTTCTGTTACTGCTGCTTCTACAGAGAAGACTCTTACCCTCAACTCCGCTTGAGATTCACGCTGTCCTCAGAGTTGGCAATGCCCTTTCTTCGTCCCCTCCGCACCTACAGGCAGACAGACATTAGACAGATTAGACATTAGACAGATGCAGGCATATGCACACACCAAAGAGCGCTTCAAAGCAGGTTTTGCACTGCTTAACACGTTTTCACCTCTCTAGTTGGTGAGGAAACAGCTGTTCTTGGTTCAAACCAGAATGGAGAACTAAACTCCTCCCTCTAGCCAAATGCCTGTGCTTTCCCCCCCCTAGATAAAGAGAGGATTATTTCAGCAATGGGGGAGGGGGTGTTTAGAATTTTTTATTTCTTTTTCTTTTTATTTATGCATAACTCCTCTTCAGTGTTTCTTGTCCTCATTTAAGGAGCTCTGGTACAAAAGTAGGGTGACAAACTGAAAGATCGACTGTTCAAATCCACCTGCTGCAAGAGAAAAGCAGTCTCTTACCATAAAGATGTTCTGCCTCTAAGACCAATGGAAGTGTGTTCCTATAGTTCAGAATGGGCTTGATGGTAATGCGATTTTTGTTTGCTTTCATTTGAGTTCTGAAATTTGAGTACTATACAATTTAAATCTGCAAAGCAACTGTTTAAAATCACAAAGAATAAAGGAGTTGGACACATAGGTACCTTCGGGTCATAAATACGTATTTATTTCTTAAACATCTCCTTGCACTGTCTTGCTTTGCTTTGCTTTGTTTTGTTTTGTTTTTAAAGCAGCCTGCCCGAAAGACTTTCAAGAAGTTCTAACTTATCTTTCCTTGGGATAAAGAGGAAAAAGAAAAAAAAAAATTGAACCTGGGAGCTGATTTTGGATCTTGGAAGTATACACAAGTTACTTTCTCCTGCTGTTCTCAGATGTTTCTGGAACTGAGATAAAAAGAACCTGTTAGTTTTCATTTCTTGTTATGGAAAATATTGAAATAGATGCAAAAGTAGAGACATTAAAGGGCTCTCACATAAATGTAACCCAACTTCTACAACTTTTAGTGCATGTTGTTGTTGTTAATTGCTGTCGAGTTGAGCACAGCTCATAGTTATCCTATGAATAGCTCTTCCACAACCATGGCCATTTATCAAAGTTCACAGAGTTTCCAGACGCATGCTGTTTAGGAAGTGAAGTGAATGCCACTCCTGCTATCTTATTTCATAAATGTGCCTACCCACTCTATCATTGACTCTTTTCATATTTAAGTCAACACTGATTATCTTTTAACTGTAAATAATTCCACATCTCCATAAAATAAAAGAATTCTTTTTCAAATAACCAGAAAAACATTTGCTTATAGCTTGCTGTTAGGTGCAATTGAATCCAGTACTCATAGTGACCCTTTGGACAACAGATCTGGACCCTGTCCTATTCTTGTTTCTAATAAACTTGAGCCCATTGCTGCAATCACTGGATCAATCCACATAGTTGAGGGTCTTCCTCTGCTTTGTCATCCCTCCAACTTCCCAAACATGAATGCCCCTCTCCAAGAAATAGCTTATACTAACAATATGTATCTCAATGTCAAGAAAACAAAGATTCTTAACACTGGACCAATAGGCAACATCATGATGGATGGAGAGGTGATTGAAACTGTAAACAGCTTCATCTTTCTTAGATCCAATTAACAATATGATTCAAATAGTCAGAAAGTAAAGAAACATATTACACTGGGAAAATCTGCAGTTAGGAACCTCTCCACAGTTTGAGGTCTTAAGGTGGACCTGATTCAGGCCATGTTGCTATGCATCTGAGAACTGGACAATGAGTAAGGGTGACAGAAAAAGAACTGATGGCTTTGAGCTGTAGTGTTAAAGAAGGGTGCTGAACATCCCATGGATGGCCAAGAGAACAAACATATTTCTTGGAAAGGGTGCAATCCGAGTGCTTTTTGGAGGCAACAACGATGCAGCTTAGCCTCATATATTTTGAGCATGTTGCTGTTGTTGTTGATTGCTGTCGAGTCGAGCACGACTCATAGAGACTCCATGAACAAATGCATTTTCATAATTGTCATCGATTATCCAAGTTCATAGAATTTCCATAGGCATGTGGTTTAGGACATGGACGACACTCCTGCAATGGCAAAAGATTAAGCAATACAACAAACCCAGATTACCTCAGCAAATTGAAAAAGTACAAAATAGAAGAATGTTCCTCCAAAATATAAAAACATTAGTCTCACTTAGCAGTGTTCATCAGGTTGAATACAACTCGACTCAGTGATCCTGTATTTTTACATAATTAGCATCAATTCTATATGTTAGCATTCTATGGGTTAACATTAATTCTATGTGTTAACATCAATTTTCTGTCAGCCAGTTCTATGACCTGAAGCACTCACTTGCTGCAAAAGGTCAAGGACTGTAGTCTCAATATAGAATGAAGTTCAACTTTAAGAAGACAAAGATTCTCACCACTGGGCCAATTGAGAGCATCATTATGGATGGTGAAGAGATTGAGATAGTTAACTGTTTTAGTTTGCTTGGCTCCACAGTCAGTACTCTTGGTATCAGCAGCCAGGAAATCAAAAGACAAATTGCATTGGGAAAGTCAGCTGTCAGGGACCTCACCAAAGTACTGAAGAGCAATGATATCAAGCTGCAGACTAAGGTGCACCTGCTCTGGGCCAAAGTCTTCGTACTTGTGTGCTATGGATCAGAGAGTTGTACAGTGACTCGGGATGATAGAAAGAGAATTGATGCCTTTGGGCTGTGGTGCTGCAGAAGAGTGTTGATTATACCATGAACTGCAAGAAGAACAAACATGTTTGTCCTGGAGAGGGTTAAACCGGGCTTTTCCTTGGAGGTAAGGATTCTGAAGCTTTTTCTGACATACTTTGAGCATGTTACAAGGAGGGACTGGCCCTTGGAGAGGGACATCATATTTGGGAGAGTGGAAGGACAACAGGAGAGAGGAAGACCCTCAATGAGATGGATCAGTTCAGTGATTCTCCGGAGTAATGGGATTAGGTATGTCAGAGACAGTGAGGTTGGCACAGCATATTTCTCCATTGTATGTCTTTTAATTTCTTCATTATTTTTGTTTGTTTGTTTTGGTTTTTCCTTGTTGACTGCTGCTACTATGGGTGCTGATTGTGGATCCAAGTAAAATGAAATCATCCACATTTAAATTTTTTTTTCTATCTCATGATGTTAACAAAAAAAAAAGTTTGTTTTTCTAATGTTGAGTTATAACCCATATTGGAGGTTGTAGACTTTGATCTTCTGTACTAAGTGCTTCAAGTCTTCTTCACTTTCTGTCAGCAAAGTTGTGTCATCTGCATAACACAAGTTGTTGATGATTCTTTCTTCAATTCTAATGGCACATTTTTCTTCATATACTCCAGCTTCTCCAATGATTTGTTCAGCATATAGATTGAATAGGTATTGAGAAAATATGTGACTATAATGCACACTATTGCTGATTTTAAGCCATGCACTGTTCTCTTGTTCTTTTTGGACAACTGCCTCTTGGTCTATGTATAAGTTTTGCACAAGCACAATTAAATGTTCTGGAATTTCACAGTTTTGGCCATAATTTGTTATAATCCACACAGTCAAATCTTTTGCATAATCAATTAAAAAGCGAGTAAACGTCTTTCTGATATTCTCTACATTTAGCTAAATCCATCTGGCATCAGCAATAATATCCCTTGTACTTTAGCCTCTTCTGAGTCCCGCTTTAATTTTGGGCAGTTCCTGTTGATGTGCTGGATTTTATAAAGAGGAACACAATATCAGATTGGAGAAAAACTAAATAATAATCTGTGATAAGCAGATGGCACAACCTTGATTGCTTAAATGACTCATTAATGATCTGGAAGGTGAAGATGACAAGATCTCTCTTGCTGAAAGAGAAGTCTTGAAGAACCTTCTAAGGAAAATCAAAGACCACACAGCTTTTAATATATATTTCATATTAAGGAAAAAAT